AATCAGGAAGCATTCTATGTGACACCAGGCCTGCATGCTTTAAAAATGTCAGTGTCATTAAAGACAAGGAAAATGACAAACTGTTTCAGATTAAAGGAGACTGTATCTGTGTGCTAGTGCTGGCATAACAAAATACCACAGGCTGGGTGGCTTAAACAACAGATATTTATTTTCTGACAATTTTGGAAGCTGGAAGTCCAGGTTGAAGACATCAACAGATTTGGTTTCTTCCGTCCTCTTTCCCCTACTTGCAGGTAGCAGTCCTCTTCCTGAAGTCCTCACATGGCCATGTGGTCATCCCTCTGTGTTATCTATGTCCTAATATCCTCTTCTTGTAAAGACACCAGTCATGCTGGATTAAGGCCCATATTTATGACCTGATTTTAACTGAATTACCTTTATAAAGACCCTGTCTTAAAGTATAGTCACATTCTGAGGTACTAGGTATTAGTTAGAGCTTCAGCATGAATTGTGGGGGCTGGGGAATTGCGGATGAGGGACACAATTCAGAATTCAGCCTGTAACAGAGACTAAAGAGACTTCTTTATGTGCGGTCCTGGATTGAAAATAAAGTTGCTATAAAGTATATTATTGAGAAAATTAGAAATGAATATGTATAGTGTGGTAGATTAAAAATAGCCTCCAGTTTTTTGCATTCCTTTCACTCAGGAATGGGAGCATATTTCCCTTCCTTTAAAATCTTGGCTGGTCTGTGACTACTTTGACAAATGGAGTAGAGTGGAAGTGAAGCTATGCCAGTTCTGAGCCCAGCCTTTACAAGACCGATTCTGCTTCCTCTTTCACTATACGTTGTCAAAATGGGCACAGACCACCAGCCAAGATTTAAAGGGAAGGGAAATATGTCCCCATTCCTCAGTGTGAGGAATGTTAAATAATTTGAGGCTGTTTTTAATCTCCCACACTGTATGCAGTTATTTCCAATTCTCGATAATGTACTTTATAGTAACTTTTTTTCCAAATCCAAGACCAGGTAACAAATTTGGATGTCAAATCTCCTTAGTCTCCTGTAATCTGAAACTGTTCCTCATGTTTCCATATCTTTTATGACACTGACATTTTTGAAGTGTATAGGCTAGTTGTTTCATAGAATGTTCCTTAATTTGAGCTTGTCTGTTTCCTTATTACAGGTGTACGTTTTTGGTAGGTATACAATAAAATAATGTTATGTCCTCAAAGTATCATCTCCTATGTGATGTCATGTCAATTTCTATTATTGGTGGAATTAACTTTAATGCTTGGTTAAGGTGGTATCTGCTAGTTTCCTCCAAAGGAAAGGTCCCCATTTCCCGTTGCAATTGGTAAGTGATCTCTAGGGAATTTTTTTTTTTTAAATTTAAAAAAAAAAAAGCTCTTCTGTATTCTGTGTCAGGGCTGGGGCCCACTACACAATCCAATAGCTATTGTCTGTTAAGTTAAATTTTGCCTTGAGTCTGTCTTTATATTTTAAATTTTTTGGAAAATGAAAAGAGAAGGCTTGTTCTAAAAGAGAAAATAACTCCAACAACAAAAACAAAAACCAAAAAAACATATTTTGAGTCCTTGCATAACAAACTGCAACCTAATTTAGTATGTAAACAAACTGAAACCTAACTTAGAAGCACATTTTTCATATAAGATAGCTGGATCTCAGCCAATCACAAGCAACTGAGCTGCAGACAATTACAGGCTGCCAACTGTTCAGACCATGTCCAAAGAAGGCAAGTGCCTAGTTGTAACCAATCAAGCTATTTCTGAACTTTACTTCCCTGTTCTGTCTATAAATACTAACCCCCTTGCAGAGTGGAGCTCTTTGAACTTTTTCTGGTCCTGAGTGTTGCCTGATTCATAAATTGTTCTTTTCTCAAACAAACTGTTAAATTTAGTTTGTCAAAACTTTTTATTTGAACAGACCTGGTGTTGTGAGATCCAAAGATGTCCTTCTGATGATGACCTTTGGGAGCAATGAGCAAACAGTTGCAGGTATTCCTAAACCCTTGTGCTGATTGTTTCTCACTGCATGTTGGAGGTTGTCATCAGTAAGTCCCATTTGAATATGAGCTCCATAACTTGTGTTGCAACCCTTGAGTTTATTCGAGCATCTTAAATCCAGACTGGGTTCACAAGTTGGGCTGGGTTTCTTATCAGATTGGATTCAACAGAAACTGGACTGGGTTTCAGTAAAAGGTCTCTGGTAGGTAAGGCTACAAGAAGACTGGCAATAATGGGTTCACCTGAATCTAGGAAAATAGCAAATTATCTCTTAGAATTCATCCCTAAAGTATTTTCTGAAAAAAAAAAAACAAAAATAAATATAGAAAACACAAAAACTGACTGATCTGTCATTGAATCTTATAGAGAGAGAAAAAAATGAACCAATCTGACTCAATGATCTAGTTAAAAAACAAGCTGGGTTGGGAAGCTGCCTATCTAACTGAACTGGTCTCCAAAATACTCATTTCTGGCATTCAGCTGGCTATCTTGAGATTCTTGTTTAAGATAAATTTACATCTATAAAAGAAATTTCAGCTTTTGTCTCCCTTTCTGCACAAGGAGAAAGAGGACTGAATCATGGGAAACTCTTGTAACAGGGAAAGAATATGGTTTAAATGTACATAACAAGCCTTGCCTTTGTTTAAGGTACTTTTCACCTTTCTTTGTTTTGGAAAATGATGGTTTTCATGCCTTTGAGACGTCAATTTTCTACCTCATCTTACATGAGAACCCTCCCTTTGAAAACGCAAATTTAGGGAGATGACTCTAGGGAAGAAGAAAAGGCAAAAGAAGAAGAAAAATGAGCTAGGTGCAGTGGCTCATGCCTGTAATCTCAGCATTTTGGGAGGCCAAGGCGAGTGGATCACTAGGTCAGGAATTTGAGACCAGTTTGGCCAATATACTGAAACCCTGTCTCTACCAAGAATACAAAAAATTATCTGGGTGTGGTGGCATGTGCCTGTAATCTCAGCTACTTGAGAGGCTGAGGCAGGAGAATTGCATGAACTCCGGAGGCAAAGGTTGCAGTGAGCTGAGGTCGTGCCAATGCACTACAGTCGGGGCCACCATGCAACACTCTGTCTTAATAAAAAAAAAAAAAAAAAAGAAAGAAAAAAAAGGAAATATCTGGAAATTGCTGAATAAAAAGTGTTCAAAGATTTTTCCTCTCAAAAATATTAGTAAAAGGGTTTAATCATTGATGTGAGTAATCTTGCTCCATTGGCTGGAAACATAATTTTTTGTGATCTAAATATTGTTTTATGAACTAGTGAGTTTCATATTGCTGTGCCTGACACATGGTTAAAATTTCAGAAAAAAACCTGTCAGATCTGCTTCTGCCTGTATGTTTATGTAAGTCTTTACATGTATGTATTTGTGATCTTTTTCTACCTCCAGCTGGTGTTGCTACAATTCATTTATTGTTAAAGTTATTGAATTTCAAAAATTTATTACATTTATTATTAATTAAATTCGTTTAATAAACAATATTATTAAATTAATTATAATTTAGTTTGCTTAAATAATAATAAGCACTAATATAATTAAGTATTCCTAAAGCTCTTAGAAGTATAGGAACTGACCCAAATATTTACAAGTATAGAACTGCGAGTTCAAACTAAGAACAAATGTTCAAATGGAAATACAGTGTCCATTACTCCATGTATATCAAGCACAGCAGCAAAACAAACAAATAAAAAAAAAATCACATATTTAACTTTTAGGTTCTTGCCTTTGTGAGAACTGCCTAATATACATGTACTAATAGGGAAGTAACTTGATGATGGCTAGCTTTGTTTTAATAGGCATATTATAAAGTCTCTTAGGTAATGTTAAAACACATGCTCTTAATGAAGAGACCCCCCCAAACAGGCTTTATGTGAGCAACATGGCTGTTTATTCACCTGGGTGCAGGTGGGCTGAGTCTAACAAGAGAGTCAGTGGAGGGCAGTGAGATGGGAGTTGGTTTTATAGGTTTGAATTGTAGTTTCCATAATTCCCCATGTGTCACGGGAGGGACCCAGTAGGAAGTAATTTAATCATGTGGGCATTACCCTCATGCTGTTCTGGTGATAGTGAGTGAGTTCTTATAGAGCTGATGGTTTTATAAGGGTCTTCTCCCCCTTTTGCTTGGCATTTCTCCTTGCAGCTGCCATGTGAAGAAGGGTGTGTTTTCTTCCCTTTCTGCCACGATTGTAAGTTTCCTGAGACCTTCCAAGCCATGCTGAACTGTGAGTCAATTAACCTTCTTTCCTTTATAAATTACCCAGTGTTGAGTATGTCTTTATTAACGGCGTGAGAATGGACTAACACAATATGCAATTTGAATAAATTTGAGTAAAGATTAATCTGACTCAAATTACATTCATTAACCTATTTAATAAACAGTGCTATGCACTAAATTAGAGAAATAAATGTATTTATTTTAATTTTATTTCAATAGCTTTTAGGGAACAGGTGGTTTTTGCTTTCATGGATAAGTTATTTAGGGGTGATTTGTGAGATTTTGGTGCACCCAACACCCAAACAGTGTATACTGCGCCCAATATGTAGTCTTTTATCCTTCACTCCCCTTTCAACCTTCCCCACAAGTCTCCAAAGTCCATCATATTACTCTTATGTCTTTGCATCCTCATAGCTTAGTTCCCACTTATAAGCAAGAACATGAAATAATAGGTTTTTCATTCCTGAGTTACTTCATTTAAAATAATGTCCTCCCACTCCATTCAAGTTGCTGCAAAGGACATTATTTTGTTCCATTTTATGTCTGAGTAGTATTCTGTGGTGTATATATAGTACATGTTCTTTATCCACTTATTGGTTGATGGACATTTAGGTTGGTTCCATATTTTTGCAATTGTGAATTATGCCGCTATAAACATGTGTGTGTGTCTTTTTCATATAATGACTTCTTTGCCTTTGGGTAGATATCCAGCGGTGGGATTTTTGGATAGAATGGTAGTTCTACTTTTAGTTCTTTAAGGAATCTCCACAGTGTTTCCCATAGTAACTGTACTAGTTTACACTCCCACCAGTAGTGTAAAAGTGTTCCATTTTCAGCACATCCATGCCAACATTTATTATTTTTTGATTTTTTGATTACGACCATTCTTGCAGGAGTAAGGTGATATTTCATTGTGGGTTTGATTTGCGTTTCCTTGATAATTAGTGATGTTGAACATTTTTTTATATGTTGGCTCTTCGTGTGCCTTCTTTTGATAATTTTCTATTCATGTTCTTAGCCCCTTTTTGATGGGATTATTTTTTCTTGCTGATTTGTTTGAGTTCCTTATAGATTCTGTATATTAGTCCTTTGTCAGATGCATAGTTTGCAAATATTTTCTCCCACTCTGTAGGTTATCTGTTTACTCTGCCAATCATTTATTTTGCTATGCAGAAGCTTTTTAGTTTAATTAGGTCTCATTTATTTATTTTTGTTTTTGTTGCATTTACTTTTGGGTTCTTAGTCATGAATTCTTTGCTGAAGCCAATGTCTAGAAGAATTTCTCTGATGTTATCTTCTAGAATTCTTATGGTTTCTGGTCTTAGATTTAAGTCTTTGATTGATCTTCAGTCAGTTTTTATATAAGGTGAGAGATGAAGATCCAGTTTCATTCTTCTAAATGTGGCTTACCAGATTAGAAGATTTTCCCAGCACCATTTATTGAATATCCTGTCCTTTCCCCACCTTATTTTTTTTTGTATGCTTTGTGAAAGGTTAGTTGGCTGTATTTGGCTTTATTTCTGGGTTCTCTATATTGTTTTATTGGTCTATGTGCCATTTTTATACCAGTACCATGCTATTTTGGTAACCATAGACTTGTAGAATAGTTTGAAATTGGGTATGTGATGCTCCCAGGTTTGTTCTCTTTGCTTAGTATTACTTTGGCTATGAGGGCTCTTTTTCGGTCCCATACGAATTTTAGTATTGTTTTTTTCTAGCTCTGTGAAGAATGATAATGGTATTTTGATGGGAATTGCAGGGAATCTGTAGATTTCTTTAGGCCATATGGTCATTTTCACCATATTGATTATATCCATCCATAATCATGAGAGGTGTTTCCATTTGTTTGTGTCATCAATGATTTCTTTCAGCAGTGTTTTGTATTTTTCCTTTTAGAGATCTTTCATCTCCTTGGTTAAATATATTCCTAAATATTTTATTTTATTTTTTTGCAGCTGTTGTAAAAGGAATTGAGTTTTTTTCCTTTCTTTCCTTTTTTTTTTTCTTTTCCGAGATAGAATCTTGCTCTGTCATCTAAAGGCTAAAGTGCAGTGGCATGATCTTGGCTCACTGTAACCTCTGCCTACTTGGGTCCAAGTGATTCTCCTGCCTCAGCCTCCTGAGTAGCTGGGACTACAGGTGAACATTACCATGCCCAGCTAATTTTAAAATTTTTAGTAGAGATAGGGTTTCATCATGTTGACCAGAATGGTCTCCATCTCCTGACCTCATGATTTGCCCACCTCAGCTTCCCAAAGTGCTGAGATTATAGGCATGAGCCACCAGGAATTGAGTTCTTAATTTGATTCTCAGCTTGGTCATTGTTGGTGTATAGTGATGCTACCGACTTTTGTACATTTTGTAACCTGAAACTATGCTGAATTCATTAATCAGATCTAGGAGCTTTTTGGGTGAGTCTTTAGGTTTTTCTAGGTATATGATCATATCACCTGCAAACAGTGACAGTTTGACTTCCTCTTCACTGATTTAGATGCCCCTTATTTTTTTCTTTTGTCTGATGATTCTGGCTAGGAATTCCAGTACTATGTTGAATAGAAGTGGTAAAAGTGGGCATGCTTGTTTTGTTCCAGTTCTTCAGGGAATATTTTCTACTTTTCCCCATTCAGTATAATGTTGGCTGTGAGTTTATCATAGATGGCTTTTATTACATTTATGTATGTCCCTTGTATGCCCATTTTGCTGAGGGTTTTAATCATAAAGGGACACTGGATTTTGTCAAATGCTTTTTTCTGCATCTATTGAGATGATTATATTATTTTTGTTTTTAATTCTGTTCATGTGATGTACCACATTTATTGACTTGCATATGTTAAACTAACCCTGTATCCTTGGTGTGAAATCCCCTTAATCATAGTGGATTATCTTTTTGATGTGCTATTGGATTTGATGAGTTAGTATTTTGTTGAGAATTTTTGCAGCTATGTTCATTAGGGATATTGGTCTGTAGTTTTCTTTTTTTGCTATGTCCTTTCCTGATTTTGATATTAGGGTAATAATTCATAGACTGATTTAGGAAGGATTCCCTCTTTTTCTATCTTTTGGAATAGTTTCAATAGTATTGGTATCAATTCTTCTTTGAATGTCTGATATAATTCAGCTGTAAATCCATCTGGTCCTGGACTTTTTTTGTTGACATTCTAAAAATTATTGTTTCAATCTCACTACTTGTTATTGGTCTGCTCAGAGTTTCTTTTTCTTTCTGGTTTAATCTATGACAGTTGTATATTTCCAGGAATTTATCCATCTCCTCTAGGTTTTCTAGTTTGTGCACATAAAGGTGTTCATGGTGTTTATAGCAGCTTTGAATGATCTTTGGATTTCTGTGGTATCAGTTGTAATATCTCCCATTTCATTTCTAATTGAGATTATTTGAATTTTCTTTCTTCTTTTCTTGGCTAGTTTCACTAATGGTCTATGAATTTTGTTTATCATTTGAAAGAATCAGGTTTTTGTTTCATTTTGTCTTTTGTATTGTTTTTTGTTGTTACTGTTTCAATTTCATTTAGTTCTGCTCTGATTATTGTTATTTCTTTTCTTCTGCTAGGTTTGGGTTTAGTTTGTTCTTATTTCTTTAGTTCCTTTAGGTGTGGCATTAGGTTGTCTATTTGTGCTTTTTTAGACATTTTAATGTAGGAGGTTAATGCTATGAGCTTTCCTCTTAGTACCAGTTTTGCTGTATCCCAGAAGTTTTGATAAGTTGTGTCACTATTATCATTCAGTTCAAATAATTTTTAAATTTCTATCTTGATTTCATTTTTAACCCAAAGATCATCCAAGAACAGGCTATTTAAGTTCCAGTTATTTGTCTAGTTTTGAGGGTTCCTTTCGGAGTTAATTTCTGGTTTTATTCCACTGTGGTCTGTGGAGATACTTGATATGATTTTGGTTTTCTTAAATTTATTGAGACTTGTTTCATGGCCCATCATATGGTCTATCCTGGAGAATGTTCCATGTGCTCATGAGAAGAATGTATTCTATACTCTGGAGTTGTTGGGCAGAATGTTCTGTAAATATCTGTTAAGTCCATTTGTTCTAGAGTACAGTTTATGTCCACTGTTTCTTTGTTGAATTTCTGTCTTGATGCCCTGTCTTGAGCTGTCAGTGGAGTATTGAAGTCTCCACTATTATTGTGTTGCTGTTTATCCCATTTCTTAGGTCTGGTAGTAATTGTTTTATAAATTTGGGAGCTCCAGTGTCAGGTGCACATATATTTAGAATTATAATATCTTCCTGTTGGACTAATTATTTTATTGTTATATAATGTTCTTCTTTGACTATTTTTACTGTTGTTGCTTTAAAGTCTGTTTTGTCTGATATAAGAGTACCTACTCCTGCTTGCTTTTGATTTTCATTTATGTGGATTATCTTTTTCTATCCCTTCACCTTAAGTTTATGTGAGTTCATACATGTTAAGTGAGTCTCTTAAAAACAGCAGATGCTTGGTTGGTGGATTTTTATTCATTCTGCCACTCTGTATCTTTTAAGTGGAGCATTTAGGCCATTACATTCAACATTAGTATTGAGATGTGAGGTACTGCTGCAGTCATAATTTTATCTGTTGCCTAAATACCTTGTTTTTAAAATTGTGTTATTGTTTTACAGGCCTTGTGAGATCTATGCTTTAAGGACATTCTACATTGGTGTATTTCAACATTGTATTTTAAGATTTAGGACTCCTTTTAGCATTTCTTGTAGTGCTGGTTTGGTAGTGGCAAATTCTCTCAGCATTTGTTTGTCTGAAAAAAACTTTATCTCTGTTTCATTTATGAAGCTTAGTTTTCCTAGATACAAATCCTTGGTAGACAATTATTTTGTTTAAGGAGGCTAAAGATAGGACCCCAGTCTTCTCTGGCTTCTAAGGTTTCTTTTGAGAAATCTGCTGTTAATCTGATAGCTTTTCCTTTGTAGGTTACCTGATGCTTTTGCTTTTGTCTCATAGCTTTTCTTTTCTTTTCTTTTTTTTTTTTTGAGACAGTGTTTCACTATTGTTGCCCAGACTAGAGTGGCACGATCTCAGCTTTGTAATCTCTGCCTCCCAGATTCAAGCAATCCTCCTGCCTCAGCCTCCCAAGTAGCTGGGATTACAGGCATGCACCACCACACCTGGCTAATTTCTGTATTTTTAGTAGAGATGGGGTTTCACCATGTTGGCCAGGCTGGTCTTAAACTCCTGACCCCAGGTGATCCTCCCACTTTGGCATCCCAAAGTGCTGAGATTGCAGATGTAAGCCACCATGCCTGGCCAGTCTCACAGCTTTTAAGATTCTTTTCTTTGTCTTGACTTAGAAAACCTGATGACTGTGTACCTTGGCGACAGTCTATTTGCAATGAATTTCCCAGGAGTTCTTTGAGCTTCTTGTATTTGAATGTCTAGATCTCTAACAAGGCCGTTGAAGTTTTTTTTCAATTATCCCCTCAAATAAGCTTTCCAAACTTTTAGATTTCTCTTCCTCTTCAGGAATACCATTGTTCTTAGACTTGGCCATTTAATATAATCCCATATTTCTTGGAGGCTTTGTTCATTTAAAAAATTCTTTATTTTTTTTCTGATTGGGTTAATTCAAATGTCTTGTCTTTGAGCTGTAAAGTTCTTTCTTCTACTTGTTCTAGTCTATTGTTGAAACTTTCCCCTGTATTTTGTATTTCCCTAACTGTGTCTTTCATTTCTAGGAGTTGTGATTGCTTTTTTGTTTATAATATCTATTTCTCTGGACAAATTTTCATCTATATCTTCAATGTTTTAAAAATTTCTTTAAGTTAGTTTTCATCTTTCGCTGG